TTTTTTTTTAAATTGTTGAAAACCAGCCAGTCACACAGCGTGTGTCTGGATGGACCTCCTGGGGTACAGGGCCGGCTGTCCTGCAGCCACGTTTTGCTGGACATCCAGACTGGGAGTCTGCTGGAGGGTGTTGAGCTCCTCCAGCCCATGCACTTGGACTTCTCTTCTATAGAAAGGAAGGTCAAAAAAGACACGTGCCTGCAGAGGGATATGGTCCTCTTGTTCACATGCATGAATTCAGAAGAATGTCTAGGTCTGCTAAAAGACACCATCATAGATGAGATTATGGTCTCTTTAAAATCATTTAGCTTTTGAGAAGAGCATTGGACCAACAACACACAGTTTGAAGAAGATAGGCTTCCTCTTCCCCCACGTGCAGCACAGGAGCTGCATACCCACCACTTCGCCTTCCTGCGAGGCCAGCCAAGCTCAGGACGTTAATCTGGCCATGAGATGGCGCCAAGATCATACCAAAATGAACACTGGGGTGCAAACCTGCTCCCTCCCCTAAAGGTAGGGTGCTGGGAACTGCGCGAGACTCACACCAGAAATTAGTTTATTTGAAAATAACTTGTAGAAAGGTAGCATGAAGGCAAAGAGACGAGAAAAACAAGAGTTCAGAGCCCTGATCTCAAGGATAGGCATGTTTCATTCCCCTGGTTTTGCCACTGTGACCGGCTGTTTAAAAGATGCCTGGTAGTGGAGGCTGGGAAGGGCTGTGGAAGGCAGGTGGGCAGAAGGCTGCGGGCTCAGCTACCCTACTTACAGTGCTCCCCACAGGCTGCATCCTGGAGAGCCTTTGGCTCCTGTGCTCTGCACCTCCCAGGTCTCTGACCATGCAAGAGTTGCCTAAAGGACACAAGCAGCTTTTCTCTTAATAATACTAATAATAATGAAGTAGCGATTATGTTTTATAATGCCTGGACTGCAGGCTGAAGACACATCTCCCCTCTTCAGACCGGAGGGAACCTTGCCTTTTAATCACACTCTTACCCTCAGCATTATGGGGATCTTCTTGGGTTAACAGCTGAAGTCAAATGATTGCAGGAGCATCTTCACCTATATTTTTTAATGAAATTTCTAACCTCCAGGTGGTAGAGGAAAGCTTCAAAATGTGAAGTGATGGCTTCCTAAAGACTCAAAACCCAGAGCAAATAAAAAATACTTCCAAAGCTATGATATTTTTTCAACCAATTTCATACTGTTCAAGGGCTCAACTTGTGATTTTTTTTTTTATACCTGGGGTTGACAAAGCTGCTTCTTTTCTTATCTCCATCCCATAGTTTCTCAACTATTCTTGAGGACTACAGGCACTCTCAACAGAAGAAACATTAGCTTCCTCAGACTCAGCCACAGTTTAGAATTATGTCCTGCCACTACCTTCTCACTGCTCTTTGGCTGATTCCTTCCCCAGAAAGATACAAAGCCTGAACCTCAGGGTTTTATTATCTAATATTAATTAACTAATAATATATTAGCCAAGACAGCCCATCCCAGCGTTTGCTCAAGTCAAGAGTCACAGACACATACCCGCCATGACAGTCCTCTGCTGTTAAATACTAAATTGTTTTGGCTTTCTCAAAACACCACATAAACAGAATATTCCAGTGGAAAGGTATTCATGGCTCTGTGTTGTTTACTTTCTGTGGTACAAAATTAGCTCATAAATCAGTGAATTCATGGCAGCAGATTTACATTCTGCATTTAAATCTCCAGTGACTTGTGTGTTTGGTTCTTGGCTGGCATAACTCTGAATCTTTATAACCGAACACCTAAGTTGCTTTTTACTTTTACTCTCTGGATACCCATATAATGACGTTTGAAAGCTGGCTGTAGTCAGCACTCAGGGTATGTGGCAAGTTTTTCTTTTGGTATTCATTATTTTAGTTACGGTCTGGACATCATGTTGGTAAATGAGGCATTCTCTTTGTGTACGGATGCATGTGGCTGCCTTTCAGGAGGTGAATGATTTTACTGAGTCTTTGAAAAATAATAGATTTGTTGGAAATTAAATACATTTTTTTTTTGCTCCTGGTACGGCCTGAATATTAAAGTGGGGTAAAGGACTGTGATCTTTTTACTCACGCTGACAATCAGTTACTAACATGGGCGTCAGTGGATCTATTTGTGGAGGTGACTGCTTGCCAGCATGAATAAGAGGATCAAAATCTGGTCCAAAATTACTGCCATCTGATACTATTGCAATTGAGAGAACATATTTAAAACAGCCTGTGTCCAGGACATATTTTTTGTTGTGATGTTCTTGTGGGGTAGCAACAATTCCAGCTACTGCTGTGAAAGACAAGTGTTATGGCCAAACTGGCCAGAGAAACACAGCTTCATTGTGTTCTTCTGATGCGGTTTTGAGATGTTTGGTTCCTTTGCTCTTCCTTCTTTACTTCTCAAGAATAACATTGGTTACGCTGCATAACAGGTTTGGAGTTTTACCAACATTAAAAGCATAGCATTTAGGGCTCTATTCAATGTAAAAGCATTTATGTGGTCATTTTTCCAGAAAATGAAAACCGAGTATGTATTTCTGTCTGAATTTTTTTCAGCAATTTGAGGTAAGTTAAAATCTACCTGTCCAAAAAGATAACATTTGTAAAAATGTGTCTAACTATTGCACAGTAAAAATTTCTATGTAAAAATCAAATAGTGGCATACTCTCTGGTGTAAAGAGGTGTGTTTGCTGCTGCCTTCATATAGCTCAGGAGAACAGCACTGCTAAATAAGGCAATGGGACATAACTAAGGAGAAACATAGATGTCTGAATGCGAGTTGAGATTAAAGCAGCCAGTATAGATGAAATATACTCATTGCATCTCTGTGTACACTGAGTCCTGTAACCATTTTGACCTCAAACCCGCATGGAATAACAATGATCATACAGAGCAAGTAAATAATTAT